AGCATGTTTCTGTGAACTGGAGGAACGGAAGATGAAAGAAAATTGATTAGATTTGACCTTTTCTTCAAATAAAAATTCAACTTGAAAGAAATTAGGTCTCTCTTTCCATCCATGATTCAATTACATGTATATGTAACAAATCTGGAACCGAACTGAAATTGAACAGAGGGCTAACTTCTTTAAAAATCCTGATGTTCAGCAGCTTTCAAGTATGCTGGCTCTAGGAACTAGTGCTGAGTAGTTGCCATGCTTCCTGATGAACCACTGTAGGAGGTCGCAATGCAAGCATCGCCGGGCTCCTCCCTCTTACAAAACTTCTTGGAGGAGACAGGCTAGAAGTTCCTAATGCCTTGCCCACTCCTGTGTAAACCTAACACAAAGTGGTCATGTCTCAGCATCATTTTGTCCTGAAAGTCTCCTTATTTCTCTAAAAAGTACAGGATGACAGCATGGCCATTAGAGTACCAAGATCATTACCATAAAATACTAAAGAAACAACCCACCAACTCCATGTGTCAAGCATAATAGCTGAAAGATATTTGTGCATCTTTATTTCAAAAGTATTTTGTTTCCTAATCTTCAATAACTTGACTTACTAGCATATTTAATAATGTATATAAACTTCTGCAAAAATACAAATAATATTTTGACTTTTGGTATTTTTATATGCATGAAGTATGTCTTCCCAGAAAAACCCACATTTATATGTGTAAATTCAAATCTACTATGTAGTAACACACACACACACACACACACACACACACACACAAGCTGTTTGTCTCAAAAAAAACCCAAAAAACACCCCACCAAATTTAGTAGCAGAAATGGCAACAGATCCTAAGTGAGGACTATACTGAAAAAGAAACACAAATTCAGAATCATGTCAGGAAATAGATTTTCCAATGGTGATAAAATTGTACATGACACAAGACTAAGGAAATTTTCTAGAGTCATTGCAAAAAATAAAAATACAACAACAAGTTAAATGTCACCTTGGGAGGAAGAGAGTATTAACTAGTAAAGAAGACTGATAACCTACAAGCCCTCTATTTGTTCCAAATATATTTCTGGACAAATGCATGTTTATTTTAGAATCAGGAAAGCATACTGCTTACATCTTAAAAATGTCAGGAGCCAGCAACTAGTTGAATAATTAACAGAGTTTTCTGACTAAACTATTACTTCATAAAAGGTGATTCCCTCCCATGTTACCCCTTCCTCTTTTCAATCAAAGGCGGGGCCCAGTGACTGGCACATGGATACTGCTGAATGAAAACCATAGTCAGTAAATTAGTACATAGGTGAAATTTTGCTCTTAAATATAAGAAAATTGGACCAGATTTTAGAAATGTGAAGAGAGACGTGACTTACATGTCAATCATTTCACTTCTCTCTAAGGGGTGTCAACTTAGCACTACTGATACTGTCTCAAATATTTAAATATAATATCTTACCCTGCCCTAGTTGGCACAATGATATAAATGGCTTTAGGAAATTCAACTGCTCTAATTTTCTAAAGCTAAATTTTTGTTAAAAAGAAAAAACACAGGTGTGAAATGATATTCCATCACACCCTCATGTTTTAGTAGTCATTTTGCTCTGTTTTTGTGAAATATCCTCAGAACAACTGAAACTGCTAAATATAAAGAAAAGAAAACAGTAACAAGAGTGATAAGCAATTCTACCCTGACCAGGTATCTCAGTTGGATAGAGCATCATCCCCTGGTCAGGGCATATACAGGACCCAACCAATGAATGCACAAATAAGTGGAACAACAAATCCATGTCTCTGTCTATCTCCCCTCCTTCCCTCTCTCTCTCAAATCAATAAAAAAGAATGATAAGAAATTCCCATTTCTATTGAAATACGAAAGTATAGAATTTCTATTTTTTAAAAATATGTTTCCATTGACTTCAGAAAGAGGAAGGGAGAGGGAGAGAGAGAGAGAGAGAAACATCAATATGAAGGACAACCTTTAACCAACCGAACCACACAGGCCAGGGCTAGAATTTCTCTTTTTAATCTAAAGTCTAGAAACAAGACTAAAATAACCTTCCCATAGCTGAGTTTTAAAAAAAACCAAAGTTTCTTTGTAAAATAAAACACATACTAAAATGTTTTGTTTTGTTTTTTAAATAGGGGAAAGTATTATCCTCAGGGACACATAATTTTAATAATCTCAATTTTCAAAACTTGGTTTTTGGAACTAGAAGCAACCAGTTCTTCAAACTGTTTACTAATTTGAGATAAAACCTAAATCAGAGCTCGGCCTCCTGGCTGTGAGAGGAGCTATACCAGGCAGGGCAGAGGCCACATTAGGGAACTCATGTGGTGCCGCATAAAAATGATGGGGAGCTGGAGAAGTTAAAATTTTAGCTTTGGTTGTATCATTAATAGGCTTGGTAATTAATGCATGTAGAAAGCTATTGTTCCAGGGACTGGAGTATATAACTGGACATGCTCTGACTTCAGGAGCCCTGAAAGCAATTCCACATTTCTGTCCCAGGATGACTGCAAGGGACCAAGATGGTATCTGAGCCATTGTCCTGCAGGGAGAGAATGTCTGCTGCCCAGGATGCAGATAAAGCATCACCGGTCAGCTGACAAAGGGATGCTTGAAAAATCACCGGACTGCAGCTTTTATATGATTAACCTTTTCCCCTGAATTCCAAACCCTTTACCTACACTTTTCTTCTCCTTACAAAAAGGGTTAGCTTGAGCCCTAGCTGGTTTGGCTGTGGGCTGAAGAGTCCTGGGTTCGATTCTGGTCAAGGGCACATGCCCAGGTTGCGGGCTCGATCCCAAGTAGGGGCGTGCAGGGGGTAGCTGATCAATGATTCTCTCTCATCATTGATGTTTCTATCTCTCTCCCCCTACCTCTCTGAAATCAATAAAAATATATTTTTAAAAGGGTTGGCTTGAAATGAGATGTAAGACAGTATTTTTAGGGTACATAACCTGCCCATCTTCTCAGATCGCTGGCCATCTGAATAAAGTGCTCATAAAGATTCAATCCTTGCCTTTACTTACAGGTTCTGATAGTGACAGGTAGCACGAACGCCAACTTTTCCGGTTTCAAAAGTATCTCCTCAATTAGAAGCACCTCAGTTATAAGATGGGCCCTTTTATTCCTGAACTTGACTCCAGAAAAGCAAATGTTCCAGTTTTCTGAAGTACAAAAGACTTCTTTAAATGCAAAGCCCAGGTTCTGTACTAAAGAGCAGTGTTTCTCAAACATTAATGTGCAACTGAATCGAGGACTTGTTAAAATGCAGATTTTGATTCACTAGGTTTGGGGTGATGTCCAGGATTTGCATTTCTAATAAAATCCCAGATAAAGTGGATGCTACTGATTCATGGACCAACTTGAGTGCAAGGATATATAGGGCATACATTTGTAGCTTCCCAGACTTTACCATCTAGTGGGGGAAAACTTGTAAGTAAACATGTAACCATAGTAGTTTTCTTTGTCATTCCTACCTACTGATTATCTAATATGGCGGTAGTAAGTATTTATTTTTATTATTTCTTAATTATAACTTCTTTTCATGAATATGTTGACATAAAATGATCCCATAGAAAAATATACACAAGATAAATATTATGAACAGTTTCACTCAAAAAAGAAGAAAATCAATTATGAAAAAATTAAATTGTACATTACAAGCTTCCCAACTGAAATAATTAAAAGTGTTTCAGTAACCAAAGAAGAAATAAACTCCTCCAACACCCAACCAATTATTCCATTGCAGTTTTTTGGACGAAGTCAACATTAACCAACAGTGTTCATTTTATCTCTATTTATATCTCCTGTTTTAAACAACCAGCTGAGTTAAAATATAGGGATTTCCTAGTCATTCAATAAATATTTATTGAGTATCAACAATGTGTTAGGCACTGGGCTGGGTGCAGAGGACAGAGAATGAATGAATGGGGAGAGTCAAGTAATAAACAAGTAAATAATCATTGGAAATAGAAACATCCAGCACTACTTTGCCAGGTGTGTGAGTGAGCCCCTCTGGAAACAAATTCTCCAACCCCAAGCCTTCAGGTGACTGCAGCCCTGGCTGAGGCCTTGACGGTCATCTAATGAGAGACATGAGCCAGACCACCCAGCCTGGCCATTCTTGGGTTATTGATCCACAGACACTGTGCGAAACAATAAATGTTGGTTGTTTTAAGCCACAAAGGTTTGGGGTGACTTGTTACGCAACCATGAACAACTACTACAGAAAGAAGTGGGTGAGAGGTAAGAACACACCTATTTAACAAGGGTGGTCAGGAAAGCCTTCTTTAAGAAGAAGACATTTGCCCAGCCGGTGTGGCTCAGTGGTTTAGCAGCATCGACCCATGAACCAAGAGGTCTCTGGTTCCATTCCTGGTCTGGGCACATGCCTGGGTTGTGGGTTTGATCGCCAGCAGGGGCCATGCAGGAGACATCTGATTGATGTTTCTTTCTCAGTGATGTTTCTATCTCCTTCCCCTCCTCCTTCCCCTCTTTTCTGAAAAATCAATAAAAACATATTTAAAAGAGAAAAGAAGACATTTAAGTTGAGACAGATAAAATGGAGTCGGCCCTGAGCAGAAGGTGGTTCTTTGGTGGCAAGATGAAGAGCACTCCAGAACAAGGGCACCAAGTGAAGGTCCTGTCAGTAGATGGGAGCAGTGTTGCCAGAGCTTTCCGACAGGAAAGGGGGAAAGATGCGGGTCACAGAGGTGGTCTTAGCCATACCAGGCAGGGCCTCTTGTAGAGAGTTTAAATTATTCTCAACACACTGGGAATCCTTTCATGAGTCTTTAGCAGAAGACTAATGTGATGCCCTCTGTTTTAAAAACCTCCGTGGGGCTGCAGTATGGGAAAGGAATACTTATGCCAGGCTTGCTATCTACTCTTCAGTCCTTTAGAGGCTCAGATAAGCATGATCAGGAAAGGCTTAAAAGTATGAGGAATGGCATGAGTGTGTCATTACTATTACTACTACTGTTGCTGTTATTCCAGACGCAGGCCTGGCGTGGCCTCGGGAGTGCTGCAGGGGAAGAAACAAGCCGAGGGGAGAGCAGCAGGACCTCTGGTTTCACAGGACCTCACAGCCTTTCCTGAGGCAGCCTCCGAACCTCACTGCACCCAGTCCCAAGCATAGACGGGGTGTATACTTGCTAACCCTGCAATGTTGATGAGGAACAAGAACGAATTTGCAGTACAAATATTTACTTTTGGCTATAGGTATGACTTTTAAAAATATATAAACTTAATTTTCATTATGTAAGTAATGCTCATTGTAGAAAAATTTTCACTTATTTTGCAGGTAATGTGTATTGCAGAAATTTTCAAGAACAAATATGTAAAAGAAACTAAAATTACCAGTTACCCCAATTACTCCAAGGTAAGTACTGCTTTCAACTTCCTTTTGGTAAGTATCGTTCTAGTATCCCTACGCCTATATATGGAATATATACTATATACTGGTTACAACTAAGATTTTTTAAAACTTTTTTTCTCCTCCATTATAAAAACAATAAATGCTTATTTTAGGCTGTTTGAAAAATACAGAAGGAATGAAAACACTAGCACCAATAATATGACCTCTATCTATTTCTTTTTTTAAAAAAAAAAAGTATTTCTTTATTGATTTCAGAGAGGAAGGGAGAAGGAGAGAGAGAGATAGAAACATCAATGATAAGCGAGAATCATTGATCGGCTGCCTCCTGCACACCCTGTATCGAGCCCATAACCCAGACATGTGCCCTTGGCCAGAATCGAACCTGGGACCCTTCAGTCCGCAGGCTGACGCTCCATCCACTGAGCCAAGCCGGCTAAGGGTCTCTATCTATTTCTTTCTGAGAATCTAAAGGTAGCTGAAACTCACTCGAGTCTGCAGCTGTTGCTCTGAGCTGCCATTTTACAAATATTCACTTCCTTAATTTCAGCGTACCTCCTTAGCTCATTAAGAAAGGAAAACAGAAGTTGAGGACTGTTCACTGCATAGAGGATTTGGCATATCTGTATACCTCACTTTGAGATAAATAAGTTGGGGGGGTGTGGAATAAGAGACTCAAATTCTGCTAACAACAGCTCTCTGTAATATATTATAGGGGCAATGCTTGAAGAAATGGATAAATTTTGAGTAATTCTCACAATAAGAATGCGCAAACTGAATTTTCAACCTCAAAACAAAACCTGTCCGGTGAAGTATATTAAATTCTGGTTATCTGGTTGCCTACATTTCTCCCAATGTATTTTCAATGACCTAAATCCAAGTTTGAAGTAAAAGTTCATCCCTTCCTGGACATCAGCCATTCTTATTTTAATATGCTTCCCTGGACTTGCCTGCAAAGTCTGTTGTTGCTATCCCAGGCATCACCCAGAACCACAAGTGCTGTGAGCCAGAGAAATGCAAATCTCAGTGATAATCTTGAATATTTTATCCAACAACTAGAAGCCATTTACTTAATGGAAAGTATTACAATGCATGATGCCATTCCAATCAAGGCTTAATTCATTTGCAGGCAGACTTTCAAGAGCTTGAACCTGCATTTTGCTTATATAAGGAGCCACTCCACAGTTAAATTTCACAGGAATTTAAACCATCCATCCACTGCCAACCTGATCTAGTTTTACCCTTCTGATGCTACAATTACCTTTTCGGATTCATTGGAAACATTTTTAGCCAATAGGTCCAACAGAGATTGATCTTGATGTACCTGGACTCTGAAAAGCCACGGTGGAGGCTGGGCCTGGATTGTATTATAGTATGGCAACCCGAGATGACTCTGGGGTATGGGGAATTAGGGGGAAGCAATGATCAAATAGGGTTTCATTTACACCTTTGCTTGTAATTTAGATGTCTTGTCTAGATTAAAGCCATTAGTGGGCACAAATGGAGAAACTGTGTTTGAGTGTGATATGGTTTGAATTTCTACTATCTAACTATGAATCAAAACAAGGAACAAGAGTAATATGGGCATACAGAAGCAGCCAGAGAGAACCAAGGCTGTTTGGTTAAAGGTTATATCTGGTTTCATAATAACGGGGAAGCTAGGACACATAATAGGAATCACTATATATTATTTATGTATAGTTAGGGTGCTATATTAAATTTACAATGAATTTTCTATGGTTCTTGCCATAGAGTATGGATTCAGTCATTTTCAAGACTCACTTAGTAATTTTTATAAATTCCCATGGTAGTGAACCCCTTCAAGCAGTGTTAAATATAAGCTGTCTGAACTGGGGTGGATTACATCAGACTATAGTCAATAGTCTATAAATGGTCCTTCTTTTCAGAATTCTGTCTCAATGAGGTCTGTTTCTATAATGAAATGGAAATCTTATTCCCCCAGAATTTCCTGTAAGAAGAATTTCTTTTTTATTGAATTTATTGGGGTGACATTGGTTAATAAAATTATATAGGTTTCAGGTGTACAATTCTATCATATGTCATTGGTATATTGCATTGTGTGTATATACCCAAAATAAAGTCTCTTTACATCACTACTTATTCCCCTGTACCCTTATCTACTCCCCGCCCCCCCCCGCCTTTCCCTCTGGTAACCACCATACTGTTGTCTGTGTCTATGAGTTTGTTTTTTGCTTAATCCCTTCGCTTTTTTCACCCAGCGCTGAAACCCCCCTCCCCTCTGACAGCTGTCCGCCTGTTACTCTACCTATGAGTCTGTCTTTATTTTGTTTGTTAGTTTATTTTGTTCATTAGATTGCACATATGAGTGAAATCACATGGTAGTTGTCTTTCTCTGATTGTCTTATTTCACTTAGCATAATGCTCTTCAGGTCCACCCATGCTATTGCAAAAGGTACGAGTTCCTTTTTTATGGTCAAGTAGTATTCTATTGTGTAAATGTACCACAGCTTTTTGATCCACTTACCCACTGATGGACACTTGGGCGGCTTCCAAATCTTGGCTATTGTACATGATGCTGCAGTGAACATAGGGGTATACATATTTGAAAGGAATACTTTGATAAACCACTTAATGTGGAAGTGTGAGATGCTAAGGACATGTCTAGTAATAAAAGATGGTTTCTACACTACAACATACAATATTAGGAAAGGAATCTGCATCCCTCCTAAGAAGCAGAAGGAACTAGAGAAGAGTGAGCACTGCTGGGAGAAGGGTGTGGACCACAGAGAGAAAAGCCTCAGTTCTGGGCCAGGGGAGGGTCTTGAGAGGGTGGAAGTGTCTAATATGGACTCTGATGCTCCTCCTTGCTTAAAAAGAGGTGAATGAGAGTGTGTGAGTGTGCACGTGTGTGTGCACATGTGTGTGTGTGTGTAGGGGGTGATTTACATCTGATAAAAATCTCCTCTGTCCTGATCTTTCACTAAAATCCGCATTGCTCACTAGCTTATTTGTGAACACAGATTCTTCTGAGTTCCATGTCTGGGTAACAGTGGGGGGCACAGAGATGGCACAAACAAACACTGATACTCAAGGGAAAGAGGCATTGACATTTGGGTTATTATAGCACTACTACTACTACTTACTATATTTTAGTATGAAAGAGTATATGTCTGTAAACAAGAAATACAATCTAGCAACTAACAAATGATTCTTTTTCCCAATCCTATATAATAAAAGGCTAATATGAAAATAGACTGAACAGCAGAACAACTGAACAACTGGTCACTATGATGTGCGCTGACCATCAGAGGGTGAGAGGGGAACAGTGGGCGTCGGCCACAGAGGGACGGTGGAGGAGAGCAGGGGCGCTGGACCAAGGCGGGGCACTGGTTAATGTCATCGGTTTGAGCCTCTGCTGATTACTGAAAATTCTTTGCTCCCGTGTGCCATGGTCCCACCCGGCGCTCACACCCGCTGCCGGCACTCGGTGCTGGCCCTGAGTGTTGAGCAATCAGGCCCCTATCGCCACTCCCCCTGCTCCTGAGGGGGCAACTGGGGCAGCACGGGAGCGGGGCTGCCAGGAGACAGGAGACCGGGGGCCACAGCGGGAGGGGCAGGAGGGGGCGGTGCAGAGGATGGGCCGAGACCTGCCCCTGTGCCCACCGCAGCCTCGTGGCCCACAATTCCTTTCAAGGTTCATGAATTTGTGCACTGGGCCCCTAGTAGAAGTATAATTGACACCATAATTCATAGATCTAATAATCCTTTTCTGCCTTAGTCACTGGCAAGTTTACTTCTTCTGGTGTTTTTGTGAATGCTATTCTTACCAATAAGCAGTGCCTGCCTGCTCCCCTACCCCCCCACACACACACACACACACACACACACACACACACACACTCACAGAGAAACAACTGGCACAAGTGATAGTTGGGGGAGGGGTGGAGAGGGCCAGGCTTGAAAGAGGGGCTGGCCATCTAAGGATTAGTTGAGATGATACAGATAAGGCCCTTCCATCCCATCCCAACATACAGTAAACACTTAACAAATGTGACCGATATTATTAATAGTAATAGGAACACATTAGTCCTTCTGCCTGCTTCTGTCTCTAGGGAAGGTGTTGCCATGGCACAAGGACAATTACCTCAAAGACCCGAGAGAGACAGGAATAGGGTAGAGATTACTCCTCTGCGTCCGAAGAGTCAACAGAAAAGTTAAGGTGGGGTCCGCATCTCTCACTACTAACTCTTTTTCCCCTCCCTTTAAGTTTGACTGAAGAAAGCCTGCAGCACTCCTGGCAATTAGATTGAGGACTCTCAGTTCCAAATGCATTTTTGATAGATGCCTCTAACTGCATCTAAGTGGTAGGAGCATTTCTCTCAGCATTTAATGCTAATCGTCTCTGTCATCTAGGCATAAATAACTACACAATCATGTCAGGAGGCCCAACATAAATCCACCAGGGGTTTTAATCACTCTCCAGTGAGTGTGTCTTATACAAAATCAGAGACATGAAAACCCAACCAGTGAGTGTGTGTGTGTGTGTGATAGCCTCAGCCCAGCCAGGGCATCCTTTCTGTTCTATGGAGGAATAAGATCAGAATCCACACCCAGTTCAGGGTGTGACAGCACTGCACCATGTAGGCATGGTCAGAAGAGGGATGATCTCATGTTGGCATTGCTTGCATCACTGTTTCTTCCTCGGAGGGCACATAAGTGATGGTTACAAGCTTAAGCGGCAGAGTCCAATAAAGCTGGGTTCAAATCACAGCCTGCTGTATCCTCACTGTTTGATCCCAGGCAATCTCCCTGACCGTCAAGCTCCTAATCTGTAGGGGATCATAAGCGTACATATGGCATAGGTTGTTGTAAGGATTAAGCAAGATCATCTATGCAAAGCACATTATGTAGTATACAGTAGGTGCACAATAAATATTAGCAACACCAAGAGAAATGCAGAGGGCGTCCCCATCTCTGCTGCAAGGCACAGGCTGTTTGGAGGGTCCAAGTGTCCTTTCCCCACCCAGGACTTTTATCTCCCATCTGTGCCAAAGAGTAAGCATAATGAACAAATGCTATAGATCTCACAAATTCAAAACCAAACCCCTACAAGTTCATTTTATGTATAACTTTTATAAACTGAGGCTCAGATAATCCAGTCTCAGCTGGCTATCCATTTCAAAGAAACAGCCCAGCAAACAAAGTAAATCAAATCCCTTATTTAGGTTCCTCAGATTCTATCAAAGGCTGACTCAAATGAAACACTGACATACTTCTTAATGCAGCATTGCTTTCCTCTTAAACTCTATTACACTATTTAGCAGCACTGGAACTTCTCTCTTCAAGGCCCCAAGAACTCTGCAAACACAGCCTAGCAGTGATGGCGAACCTTTTGAGCTCGGCGTGTCAGCATTTTGAAAAACCCTAACTTAACTCAGGTGCCGTGTCACATATAGAAATTTTTTGATATTTGCAACCATAGTAAAACAAAGACTTACATTTTTGATATTTATTTTATATATTTAAATGCCATTTAACAACGAAAAGTCAACCAAAAAAATGAGTTCGCGTGTCACCTCTGACACGCGTGTCATAGGTTCGCCATCACTGGCCTAGTGCAATGGTTCTCAACCTTGGCTGCACATTAGAATCACCTGGGAATCTTTTTAAAATCCTGATTTCTGGGCCTCATCTTCCGGAAATTCTGTTTCTTTGTTATGGGGTGGGGCCACAACATTACTAACAAAGAAACAGAATTTCCGGAGTCTGAGGCCCAGAAATCAGGATTTTAACAAGATTCCCAGGTGATTCTAATGTGCAGCCAAGGTTGAGAACCACTGGCCTAGTGGCTTCACTGTTTCTCAATCCATTCGCCCGCCCCTCTTCCCCAACTAACTTTTTATTATACAAATCAGCTGTGCCTCTCTCCTGGCCAGCAGGAAGGTCTCCTACTTAGAAGTGGGCAGCAGAGGTAAAATGAGTGAGCTGATCTTTAGCGATCATGGGGAAGGGACAGCACTACAGACTCATATAAATGGTTTTTGCCTCTGAACATCCAAAATACAAGAACACTTCACTGAACCTTTCTCCTTCGTCATTCTTAATTCATTACTTTACTTGCAAATACAAAAATGCAAAGATAAAAAGCCTCACCAAATTAGAAATGTATGTCTCCTATCTCTCCTTTGCCTTGTCTTAAAAAGAGGAAAAGGTCATCAAGTTGTCAATGACAGCGAACTCTACTCTTAAAGCTGCGCTGAGACAAGTCACTGGAAGGATGGAAAAGAAACGACAAGGAACGATTAGGTGCTGCCAAGCAGCTGATCTGTTTTCATAAAATACTTCAGACATAAATGGCATTTGTGTGATGTGGAGGAGGCTCTGCCCCTCCCCCCTCCCTCCCCACACACAAAGAGGGCAGAGACAGGCAAAGTGGTAACTGGCAGGTACCTAGATATGGGGCCACTGCCCTCTAGTGTGTACTCTAAAACTTGCAAAACCCCTTTAACCTGGTTAATCAGAGATCCCAAAGACAGTAGAAAACAGAATAAAACATGAACCCCCGTGGAACTACCCAACAGAATCATTTAAAAATAATTTAAATCATTAAGAGAGTGCGATCTAATGGCTTCACACACCTCACTATCTGTTGGGGCTCACACTCCCATCAGGCCATAAAAAGTGATTTGTTGTTTCAGTTGCACAGATTGCCAAAGGACAGGAGAGATATTAAACATACTTAACAACTTGGTGTGGCACAGCCACTGGCATTCAGAACAGATGCCCGCACGCTGCCAG